AGAATATTTTGTTTTTGGTGTATTTTGTTTTGTTTTTCGTGTATTTTGTTTGGAAGTCGGTTTTGTTTTTTTTATTAAAAAGTTTATTTATGGATACCTACGATTGTTATTTATTTAAGGGGCTCTATTCAAAAGATGGAATAATAAAGACAAATGAGTTAACGGGAGTTCTCATTGTCTAAATTATCAATAGTATTGTTTGATAACCAAATATGACAACGAGAGACAAAAATATGTTTTTGTTTTTAAGCAGTGGAAACCTACGGTTACAGATGGTGACTTGTGATAACGAGGGCTCGTCTCACGGCGGGTTCGTCTTGGGGGGTCGCGAGGATGACACTCGCCGGTCCCGCGCTCCGAGCGTCTCTTCGCTCTCTCTCTACAAACAGAAAATCGACGCCCTCTTCGATGACAACCGCTCGGTGACGAGCCTGCCCCGATATGGGGCCACCGCAGATGCTGTCAGAAGAGATAGCAAGGTAAATTTAGCGTGTTTTCGAGCAATGGCCAACATTATTTGACCTCCAGAAAAAGACCTGCAGTCAATTATTGATTGTATATGACAAAATCATGTCGTAATTATTTGTAACTTCAAATAGATTTTAATATGTTCACAGGTAAGCTTGTTACACGACCATCAGACGCTGATATATGAAGATGATGATGATTACTGTCACCGGATGATGAAAAAGATCGATGGCTCCGTACAGGATCGTATTTCAAAGATGTTTACCGACATGCAAAACGAGCCCAGACCCGACAATATCGGCGTCCACGTGTTCAGTGTGCATTATCTGGGATCAACACCTTTACAGAGCAAAGTCACCAGCCTTTCTGGACTTCAAACACCACTAAAAGATTTATATTTCGCCTATAGGAGAAACTTTCGTCACAAGACAACGTTGACAGGTAGATTAGAAATATCCAATAGTGGTTTGAAAGTAAGATATAAGGGTGACAAAGGGGATTTGGAACAACTCAATCCGTTTCCAACGATAGCTGTGTGGTCCGCTGTAAAGTTTGTCGTACAACGCTCTGATGATGATGACAACGATTTGAGTTACGCTTTTATGCCTCTAATAACCGATCCGGATAACATCGATCGGCATGCATTATTCAGAACATTAGATACACCAGACAAAAAGTACATCCTCTCTCACAATGAGAACTCGCATTCGCCGCTTTTCGCTGTCGTGATGAGGAAGATCGGTGTCGCTAAACAACTGGAGTGTCATGGGTTTGTTTGTCAAACGTCAGAAGACGCAATCGTTATAGCGGCTACCTTATACAAATCACTAATGTCACATATGAATCGACAAGGTAATTCTGATAAAAATAAATTCAAAAATCGCAATGGCATCAGCTGCATGAGTGTAACTAGCAGTATCCAAGACCGCGATACTCCTATCCGGCCTCCGAGAAAGAAACGAAGTACCTCATCTTTAAGTGGAGACAGCGACAGAGCTGATGGATTCTCAACGAATGGATCGTTCAGTGATAAACGTAGATTAGAAAGAATGTCATCAACTTCATCAGAAAACGTATTGATATATCATTCTCAACCAGTTTTAAACTATGAACCGAAACGAATCACTGTTGAGGAAGTTAAAGCTAAATTAGATACAATTAAACCGGACGCTAGCGGTAGTAACACGCCCGAGCAAAAGAAACCTTTACAAGAATTTAATAGTACTAATATTTATACTAAACAGAAGCCACGCAGCAGTACGGAATCAACAGTACGAAGTCAAGTGTCTGAGAAGATAGAATTGTTCAGAGAATTGGAGAGAAGGAAAAGTATACAAAGACCACCGACTTTACCACCTCCTATACCTTCGAAACCGCAGCTCCCGCCCCCGGAGCCACCGACCAAAGAAACATTAAGAAGGACACAAAGCGGTAGAAAATCATTAAGTGAATCTGGAGATATTTTGACTAAAGTGGCCATACCTCGCTCTGGCAGTTTTTTAAATGCCGGAGGATTGACTCGCTACAAGTCTATAGGACATAGGTACGTAATACAATTTCTTTGATCAGTAAAAAGTATACTAGTACTAAGTAGCATAATCAATATTAATATTTGCAATCATTACCATCAGTAATCAAAATACATAAAATGTATGTGATTTTATGTAGTTATTTTATAATTGTACACTTGATCGACTACCTTAAACACTGCAAATAAAACAATGAGAACACAAGATGCATGCCTAGCGAAGTGTTTCGACACGTTGCCCGTTGCATGCCAGTTATCGCGCCTAGCAACCGCATCCGTACATTCCTCTCATCCAATATAACAGTCACACTTTTTATATTAACTCCGTAATTACATTTCCACGGGGGATTGATAATTCTATATATTCTATACTAAACTGTCTGCATAGAGATAGGTAAAGACAGAGAGGACGTCAAATAAAGAGAGGGGATGTTACTTTCTGAAGGGATGGAGAAGTTTAGCTAGGGAATTTTGGAAGAATCTAGTGGGGACTATGTCGAAGGATAACCTGACAAAACTGGAAGCTGAAAATAACTTGTATACTTATATTGTTTTTTTATTTATACATTTTTTACTGTACATATCAAATATTAGTGTTTAAAATCTAAACTCACTGCACACTTTCTATTACAGAAACAACGGCAAAAAAGGAGGCGGCTCACCATTGGGATTTAACGAACTGTTCAACGAATTTAAAGTACAGGAAAATTTGCATTCTATGGATGAGATACTAAATGCCATAATAGATCCTGAAGGGATGTCCTTCAACGATCTGAAACCGATTTACAAAGAGTTTCTGTTAAAATTAGCAGTAACATTAACGAAAGACGAAATATTCCAACACAGCAAAGCGATAATGAAGAAACAAAAGAAGAAGATTTTAAGACGCAACAATACATTCCAGAGTAAAAGAAGAAAGATATGTAAAGGAGCGAGTGGATTGAAAATGGTATTTAGATTACCATTCAGTAAAGATACTCGAAGGAAAGAAGTTAAGAAGCAAATAAGTGCGATAGAATCAGAAATAGGCACCAAAGAACCGGTTTCAGAGAGTTCAGTTTCTTCATCCAGTTATGATATAAGACAGTTCTGTCCGAAAGAATCACCACCGATGACACAACCGAAAAGACAAACGATGAGACAAAGAAAGAGATCTGACAAAGTTGTACACGTATCGAAAAGGAATGGGAAAGTATCAAGGCCAGGGGAGAGGACATCTACTTCTGAGGATTCGGATTTTTTGACCCTTAGCAATCGTCTCGGTTGTCAAAATAGGAACAGTTCAAGTGGCTATGTGTCTTGTTCGGAATGTGAATCAGAAAGTTGCGTTGATCGTTGTTATTGCTCTTTGAAAGGTGAATGCAAAACGAAATGTTATTGCTCAGAAATCGATCTCGCTAAAGAATCATCGAAACCCAGACTGACAAGCAAAAGCTGTAAAGATTGCTCTAAGTAAGTTAATCTGTTTTAATTGTCAATCTTTGAATAATAAAATTGTTAATATAATCTACTAGCTTTCGCCCGCGACTTCGTCCGCGTGAAATTAAAAAAAAAGTGAGTAGCCTATGTGTTCTTCCAGACTATCCTTTAAGTCTATGCCAAATTTGTCCAGCCGTTTAGGTTACAAACTGTAACAAATGTCTATCCACCCATCTAAACTTTCGCATTTATGATATGAGTAAGATATCTATGCATATGATAAAATTGGAGTGTCTGTAATATCAAAAGAAAAATTTCACATTTCGGGAAGATGATGTATTTGCGTTGCTTGTAACGAAAACCGCGTTTACTTTGTTTTGTCTGTCTGTCCACTTCCTTTTGTTTCCCGTAACCTTCGAAACGGCTGGGCCGATTTTGACCGGACTTGCACTGAAGGGTAGCTGACATAGACGAGCATATTATAGGCTATTTTTTATCTTAATATTGCGTGGACGAAGTCGCGGGCAACAGCTATTTTTACTATAACAATTTCCACTTGAGCGCCAGCCAGTAGAAATCACAACAATATTTATTAAATTATTATTCGTACGAGTCTAAATAACATTTCTCTACTTTCATCCGTCTACATTTTATAATTCATTTACTTTGACAGAGATGCGTCTCGGTGTGGAGATTGTGCGCTTTTAATTACGTTTGAATCGTTAGCGATATCTGCAATGGAATTTGCACCTTGTTCATTTTATATATGGTTCATTATATCAACAACAGTAGTAGGTAGAAATGAAATGTGCGCGGTTATCAGAGCATGCAACGTCCGCGCCTCGCGACGCCTCATGACTAACTGAACCGAATTATAATTACAATTCACTATGAATTCATAATTTCACTAGTTTTCCTACATTAATGTGACGTATATTTTGATATTTAATTATTAACACTTTCTCTACTTACTATATACTATATATAAATGCGAAAGTTGAGATGGATGGATGTTTGTTACAGTTTGTAGCCTAAAGCCGCGTGGAATAAAATCACTTTCGTCTTATTTTATTCCACGCGGACGGAGTTGCGGGCGAAAGCTAGTTATTAATAATTCATCAGCACTTCTAAAGTTTTTAGTTTGCCAACGCCCTTATCAGATTAATCGAATGTTCAACGATTACTATAGTTTTATTTTAACAACTATATCGTGTTTTTTTATTTCTACTTTGATTGATTCTTCTATCATACTAAGGGTTTGTCCCACCACTTTCTGATAGAGGCTCAGATAGCTTAAAAATGACGTCACTGTATAAGGTAACAAAATCCGATATTTCCATCACATGTTTTACTCATTTGATTGTTATCAGACAATTTATAATTTGGTAGGACAGACCCTTACTATTATAAAGAGAAAAGTAGTACTATTTTGTCCATACAATCCATATTGAAATAAGTGAACTACTAGGACCGATTTGAACAATTCTTTTACTAATAAAACGCTACGTTTTCAGTGAGTAACATAGGCTATATTTTTTAATTTCACGCGGACGAAGTCACGAGCAACAGTCAGTGATGAAATGCCGTTACAAATATAAATATAATCTTTTACGTCTTGGAGTTTTGTTACATATTTAAATGTCCGCAATACATTATAACGAATTAACGTAACGCATATTAATGTACATAACCAAGGATGTGGTTTAATTTTTTATTTTTATTTTTCAGAGAAGTATACGATGGTGATTACAGTTACTGTTCATGTGATTCTGAAAGTTGTGAGGACAGTAACAAGTGTTACTGCACCAGCCCGCGAAGAAGCACTATGCAAAGTTCCCAAAGCTTAGAATACCTTCGTAGCCCCACACAAAGGAGTTACTCTGATAGAATGAAGAGAGCTTTTGATGACTACGATTATAAAGTTACTAGAGCGAGGTAAGTTGATCAAAATTAAAGCCAACATTAATTAAAAATAATTGCTGTAATCACTTTGATTTAAAGATTACAAGACATTTGTATTTTGGTATTTCTTACATAACTAACTATGAATGTCGCCAGGTGGGATAGTCCGTGGTCCCTCTAAAGAATCGAAAAATAAACTTATCCTAGATCATCGGTTTCCCATGTTCATGACTCTCGGTTAACTTGACTTGAGTATTTACCTCTCCTAAGTACAGACTCTCTACATACACAGACATACGCAATTGCAGAAGCGTTGCCTACTCTTAATAGACGGAGGAGTAGACGCACATAAAGAGAATATTTCCCTTCCTATGCGTCTCCTTAACCGTCAAACTTTCCCTTCCCATCCTTACCTCTCAAGAAAGGGGTGAAAAGGGAAAGAGACTTAAATTGGGCTTGCACCACACTCATCAGTCTGTACGCATAATTGCTCCCACTTGACGCCTGTTTGTGTGGTCGTGGTATTGCTGGAGGGGGGGGGAGCCGACCCTAAAGTGCGAAGATGTTAAAGCGGGCTCTACTTACTCCTTAGTCTGTTTACCTGTACATTGTGCATTGTGCAGGTCCAGTGCGGCGAGCAGCCGGCGGCGGGCGGAGCGCGCGCGGCGAGCCCGCAGCTCGGACAGCCTGGCGCTGGACTACGAGCTGCTGCTGCAGAACAAGCCGCGCGACGCACGACGCAACATGCAGCGACTCACTGGTTACACATTTATTCTTTGTGTTACTCTACACTACACTTTATACCTTACACTAGCTGTTGCTCGCGACTTCAATCGCGTGAAAGTCTAGCCCATGTTACTCGCAGAAAGATTACTTTTCTAATGATGAAACTACTTAGGGTAGGCTCGAGCCTCCGTGGGGACACATAGTTAGTGATAAGCAATAAAAAGTTTACTTGAATAATTGAATAAGACATTACAGAAGGCCATTATTTTATAGCGGAAACATGTTAAAAATCCACAACAAATATCTCATAATATGATCATTAACATTTATTGTTTCAGTTCGCAGCACGGGTGCCGGCTCTCACGACGCTCTCAGTGTAAAGAAGTCAGCAGAGATGGCGGCTTTGTTTGCCGACGTCCGTCTCTCTCAGAGGACGGACGTGCGGTCGCTGTGCGGGGGGCGCAGCGCGCGGCCGCCCCCGCCCCCGCCCCCGCCGCTGGCGGCCGCGCCCCCGCGCAGCGCGCCGCACCTCGCGCGCATGTTCCAGCACACGCCGCTCAGCAGGAACGCTAGTCTTGAAGATACCTTGGGATATTTACCTTAAATAGGTAAGAATGATCAACATGTCGAGCAATATTTAATTAAAATTCCTCTTATTTTGTTATTATTCTGTTTTCTTTAAATATTACCTTTGATTTGTCTGTAATTTAATTGAAGTGGTGAATTACAAAAAGATGTTGTCTATGAATTCCTTTTGTAATTTTTCAGTGTTAACTGCATTATAAAGGTTTCGTTTCCAATTGAATTTATTTTACTCTAAACTGGAGACTTAAAAATGTAGTTCAGTAACTGGGCATAGAAATGTACCTTGGGGAAGCCTGCATTTATATGATGAATTATAATTCAAATTAAAACCAAAATGTATGATTATCGAATTAAATGATTATATTGAAGTTAATACAATAATTATAAGTGTTGTAAACAAACTTACATACATATAAAACGTAAATTCTTGAATGAAAGTGTGTCGATTGCATATGAAAATGCGTGTGTAATTTTTAATTGTATCCGTCCTCAATACGGTAATTACTTCGTCTAAGTTATGGATCAATTCACAATATTTAATTGGTTTAGCAAATCTGTTGCTAATTTGACATAGTAATTAATAGTGAACGGTTGGATTAAGAGCGGGCGCACACCTTTGACTAAACTATCGCACAACTGTTTAGTCGTGCTTTGATTCCTATGATGTGCAACTAAACAGTTGAGACTGTTTGGATTGAAAATAAAACTTCTGATAACTTACTTGCGGGTATTAATGATTTTTATAACTTCCGGTTATGAATTTAAACATGTTAAGGATGTCCGTATAATGTTCATGAAGGTAAACGCGACTGATGCGTAGACAGGCTGCGAAACAATCGACAATCGCACAAATGTCCTGCGATAGTTTGGTCAAAGGATTGCGCCGCTCTTATCCAGAACTAAAGCCAGCTAAATACGTTCAGTTAAGTTAAAGACTTGAGCTCATAAGTTGAAAATTGTTGAAGCTTTAATTAAAACGTTCAACTGACAGATAACATAAACAGTTGTAAATGAACAGTCTATAGCGGCCTAACATCAAATTTGTTCATGCTACAAATCTGTAAAAAGTAATTTGAATTTAAAACCAAGGAAAATCACTAAATAACTTATATATTTTACATCAATAAGAGAAACTTAAGATCTATTTTCTATACAAAATTATAACTGCGAAAATGTCTACAGAAAATATTGCTATTTCACCTCTTCCAAAGGGAATGAGACAGATGTAAGTTTGTTTGAACAAACTCACGCTTTCATTGTTTAAGCGTAAAAACTTAGAAGTTTTACCCTAAATTGTATCTCAAACGTATACCACCTTATTATATAAAATAAGGATTTCAATTAGGTATATAGTACTTTAAAATATTGAATCTATGTAGTTATTTATTTGTGAAAATAACCTTATTACATAGGTGCAATATGTCGAGTCAAGTATTCTTTAAGTGCATTGTTTTTTATTTATTTTACATGACAAAACGATGTTATATTGACTTATAACAAAATTGACACGAGTTCTAGCCCGCGACTTCATCCACGCGATGGTAAAAAGCCTATAATATGCCCGTCTATGTCAGCTACCCTTAAATGAAAGTCCGGTCAAAATCGACCCAGCCGTTTTGAAGATAACCCGGAACAAACGTGGCTTGCGGACAGACAGACAAAAATATTTTAAATGCGATTTTAAACGCATCTTCCCGAAATCTGGAATGTTTCATTTGGTATTACAAACAGACACTCCAATTTTATTATATGTATAGATTTGTTATATAGTTTGGTTATAAAATCGTTTTGTCATAATAAGGAAATCTTACTAATATAGCTGTATACATGTATTATGAAATGTGCAATAATAATGAAAATTGTTTTCATTAACTCGATGCTTCCTGTTGCGTGCAATATTTTTCTTTCTGTACATAATTGTGTAATGGTAAAATAAAATGTTTACAAAAATATGTTGTTTCATTTATAAAAAACTTGCTATCGCCCGCGAAATTAAGAAAAAAAACAAAAGGGTTCTTCCAAATTATCCCCTACATCTGTACCAAATTTTATCGAATTCCGTTCAACCGTTTAGGCTACATACTCTAACAAACATCCATCCATCCATCTTCTTAGGCTTTTATAATATTAAAAATGAGTGTTAAATTTATTTAATCACTATCTTTCGCCCCCGACTCCGTCCGCGTGAGTTTAAAAAAAAACAAAAGTGAGTAGCCTATGTGTTCTTCCAGACTGTACCCTCTATACCAAATTTCAACGTAATCCGTTCAGCCGTTTAGGCTTCAAACTCTAACAAACATCTATACATCTAAACTTTCGCATTTATAACATTAGTATGAAGTATGATTAGGCATATAACTCCAGGCATACTTTTATAAAAAAAAAACTTAAAACTCACAAAAATGCGAAATTATCTAGAATTTGGAAATGGCGTTTCCTAAATCTACTAAAGAACTAGATAAAACAGTTTAGTTATACGAGTTTTTATTTCATTTATTATCTTACTAAATATTATAAATGAAAATGTTTACATGAATGGATGTTTGTTAGAGTTTGTAGTTTAAGCTGCTGGACGGATCTCGATGAAATTTGTCGTAGCTGTAGGGCATAGTCTGGAAGAACACGTAAGCTATCTGATTTTGTGATTTTAATCCCACGAGGACGAAGTCGCGGGCGAAAGTTAGTCTTACTAATATTATAAATGCGAATGTTTACATGGAAATATGTTTGTTAGAGTTTGTAGTCTAGATATTTGGTAAGATAGATGTAGAGAATCTGGAAGAACACATATGCTTCCCATTTTTATTATTCCGCGCGGACGGAGTCGTGGACGAAAGCTATAATGTAGGATATATATTGTTACTCCAGTAAGTTTATTGTTAAATTCAAAGTCGGGATCAAAAATATATCATTTTTTATTAACTTCCCACAATTATAATGTAGTCGTTATCTCTCCACTGGTACATTATTCTCCTTATGTAAAATAAAACAAATAATCCATACATACAATTATTATTCTTATTTACTATCTCATAAAATTTCATTCATTTATAACTCCTTGATTTCATAAACGCATCGAAATTAACAATTTAATAAACTTATCTATTATGTTAGTAACTAATCTCATTAAAACATCTGTTATATTACACATTATTTACTAATTATTATGATTTTTTATTCAAAGTTATATACGTTTTATTTACAAAGATATATTTCATAGACTCAGAGTCTTCGAGTATTTATTTGTAAATTAAATAACTAATTTATAACTGCAGATTTTGGGCTTGTAAATTCGATTACATAAAAACTATGAACCAAGTTATTGCAAGGATGTTGCATTGAATATAAGCAAGGACGCTAAACAATTACAAATAATTGTCTTTTAAAGTAAAATTTTCATAATAAACGTCTTTACTCGTTTAAGATCGAAATTAAGGTCGACAAATATTGCACCGTCTTGTATTAGCATGTATTATGATAATAAAAGAGGTTTGTTATTTCCAAATAGGTACGAAGTAAAAATATAACATAGATTAAAAAAATCATTGACTCCAACATCGACTCAGCTTTGATTACACTTTATGGCAAAACTGAATACAGTTTGAGGCGCGTACTCAGTTGTGTCGTGTGACTGCACACGAGCAAGCTCCGCACTCAGACATCTGTCCATTCGTCATCGTGAGGTACATCTCTAAATGTACTATGGCATCAGTAAGGCCTCACTGTCCCGAGGCGGCCGCGCGGGATGGGCTCCGCGTAGCTGTGCCGGAACTTTGTCGGCTGGCGCTCGGCCAACTCGCGGAAGTCCCGGTACTCGCGGTCGTAGTACCTATCCCTGTCTCTATCACCGTCGGGGTACGCCGCTCGCTGCTCGTCCAGCAGCCGGGAGCGGCTGAAGGCGCGTTGCCGGTCCGTCCACTCGCGGCGCCTCTCCTCCAACACCGGCTCGATCATCTCATCCTCGTCTATACGCCGATCCAATTCTCGCCGCTCCCGATACCGGTCGAACTCCCGCTCCGGCTTCGGTTCGATCCTGTTCAGGTAATCCTCAGCGCCGTACTCGTACCGCTTCTCGTCCCGCTTGCGACCGACGCGCGGCAACCTCTCCATCTCCCTGTGCGCCAGGTCCGCGGGCTCGACGTCACGCACCCGATCCATGTCCTTGCGCCGGTCCGAGTCGCGGTGAGAGCGCTCGATATCCCGATGAGAACGGTCAGGTTCTCGTCGGGAGCTTGGCTCTCGATGACGCTCTTGCCGCTCGTCCCTTCTCTCTTCCTCGGGGGAAGAAGTCGAGCGACTGTTCCTTTCGAGCATGCTCCTCCTTAAAGCCATGTGCTGCTCCAGCTCCCTGTTGAATCTCTCCCTCTCCAGGTTCATGAACTTTTCCTTGGCGACGTTGAAGCGGTCTTTGGGCGAGGTCTCGGCGATTTTGAGGCTGCCCTCGCTGGCGCCGCGCTGCAGTTTGCCGAAACGCCGGTCGTCGCCCCGGTCTATGCTGCGGTTAGAAGGTTTGGCGTCGGGTACGTATCGTCGCCTGTAGCCGGTGCCGTCCTCGAGGAATTTGTCGGGTTTCTCCTTGGTGCCGCGTTCGAGGGATTCATGGCGGAAACGGCGCTCGAACGTGGCGTCGCGGAAGGGCGCGAGCTGGTCGCGGTAGGGCTCGACGGGCGGCAGGTAGTCATCGTTGTAGGCACGATCGTAGCCGCGCGGGGAAAGGGCACGGCGCGGGGGTGAAGCGGCGCGCGGGGGCGAGGCGGTGCGGCGCGGGGGAGACGCCTCGAACGCCTCATGCATCATGTACGCCGTGCTCTCAGCCCAGTCCTCCTCTGAAAATCACGAATATGTTACATTAATAAGGATGGATTTGCTTAGGAAAGTACGAAGTTTTCAATAACGGTAATAAAATGCTAATCAGCTTTTAAAGCACTAAATGACACAAAAAATAACGTTTCACCGCCTACGTTGAATATTTGGCATAATCTCTTCTCATATTTGATCCGATAACCTCTATAATTATGACTAATGTGGCTTGAGAACGAGTTCTACTCGATTGTCAATGTTCACTTTTGCGTATAACGGGGTATAGAGTCATCTTCGTGGACACATTAACGAGTCAACATGGTTTTAAAAACGAAATCGACATAGAAAGGAACCTGTCACACTCCCACGCGACGCTCGTCATTACCGTCCGCAACAGTTAAGTAGTAAGGGTGTGTATACATTGCAGATACTACAGCGGAATTGCTAATAATGTATGACAACTATTCCATTCTTAAGTCAAAATCATGGTTTAATTTGTCAAAATATGGGTAATTAATACTATACAATTTTGTGGAGATATATGGATGGATGGATGTTTGCTAGAGGTTGTAGCCTAAACTGCGGAACGGATATTGATGAAATTTAGCATAAATGTAGAGGATAGTCTGAAAGAACTCATAGGGTACATTTTTAATTACACGCAGACGGAATCGCGGGCGAAATCTTGTGTATGTACATATATACTAACATTACAAAGAGGAAAACTTTGTTTGATTTGATTGATAACTCAAAAACTACTAGGTCGATTTTGAAAATTCACCATTAAAAAGCTACTTTGTTAGTGGGTAACATTGGCTATGTTTTGTATTATTTTTGTTTTAATTTCATGCGGACGGAGTCGAAGCGGGCGAAAGCTAGTATGTAATATATTGGTATGTCTAAATAGCCTCCCGTTCGCAACAAGGAGTATAATCGTAGATTTGCTACTGGTTTGAAGATATTAATTTATGTAGTAAAATAAATTATTTACATTTATATTTAATATACCATTTCTACGCTATCGCTTGTTAACAAAACAGCAGCTTTATGTCTAAAGTTCGCCTGAGATTTAGGTTCCGCGATTCTTTCGGTTTCGTTATATTGTGTTGAAACTAATTCCCTGCGCACTCCATTAAAATAATTAAGATTTTTATTCTATTGTTTCCGACTAACAATAACACAAAGAGTACGTCTGTAAAAGACATACAGATAACTAAGTAGTTCATCTTAAAATAGTATTGTTTTCAACGTTTTCAAGGACAAATATAAAATTGGTAATGTACTAAGGTCCAGGTGGTCAGTGCAAAATATAACCTCTTTGGCTGACAAGAAGTGTGACAACCAAAGAGGTTGCATACTGGCCACCGAGATGGCATGGTTTATTAAAAAAAAGATGATAAAACAATAGAAGAAAAAGACGCACACAGTTACAAGATGTGATTGCAATATAGTTTTGCAATTATTGTAAATATGTAAATAACCTTATATAAAATTTTTGATTTTTGGCTGCCGCGCTGTCGGTAACAAGTTAAACACCGGAATTGTTTTAAAGAAAACTTTAATTAATTATTAATTGTGATGCCTTATTGTTCATGTCTCGTTCACTTATAATAACTTAATTACGAAACATTATTACATTAGAAAATAGGACAGTTGAGACGATAAAAAAAACATTCCCGGCTAAAACCTATAAAAGCAAATCATATTAGACGTTTGCTGAAATGTTATGTTTTCTTCTGCATATGAGTAGATTGAAATTGTATAACTAAATGTTAAAGTCTGTAAAAAAGGGTATTGTTTACTAGGTTTTGCCTACGACTCCGTCCACGCGGTTTAAAAAAACTTAACAATTACCTAATGTTCCATACTATGTTCTACATCTGTGCCAAACATCGAAATATTAAACATATTCCGTTCCGTTCTAAAGAAATATAGTAATCTATCCATCTTTTACATTTATAATATTAGTAAGAAGATAAATAATGTTTACTTAAATGCAGGACTATGACGTAATAGGTCACGACCGCAATGAGGTCATTTAACTATTTGGTTTTGCTTTTAAATAAAAATAAACATTAGGTCATTTTCAATCTAAACCTGCATTTCAATAGACAATGTTTATAACCGTACAGGACAAAGATGTTTTGGCTTTGAAATAAATATTTGTTCTTGTTGGTTGAAGTTTTTTTTATTAATAACAAATCATTGCTTTATTTAAAACTATATCTATTGTTTTTTTAATATCGACTTTCATTAACATATTTATGTAATTCCCCAGTTACTTTTAACCATTAGTTACTTATCCGAACTCCGTAACTTGAGTTTACTGCGTTGAAACATAGGACAACATAACTAACTACTAGAAATTGATAAAATACATTGACAAAGTAACAATGTAAACCTATATTTGTCTCTTTCACTCCTACAAGTATTTATCATTATAGATTTTGCTAGAGCGAGACAGATATAGTTTCACAGTGTGCTGAAAAACTAAAACATACGGTACGTTGATTTATGTTAAGCACGCATCTGCTGTTGCAGATGTCTATCGGTAGCGGTTGCTTCGCCATTTCGGCGCATTTAGGTGGCCGGTCGCTCGTTTGTAACTTAATTGTATAAAAAAAACAACTTACCACTAGTACTATGATTGTCGTGTTGTCTTGCATAATCATTCCTTTCTGGAGAAGGTGCAAGATCACTGCCAATACCGGAACTGCCTCCTGATGACTCTAATTTGCGCCTCGCGTTTACTCCAACTATATTCTGGTTGAGACAACGACGTGTGTCAATATTACTGAGGTTTCCTTTCTGACGATGCACCGTGTCGTAGTCTCTCGGTGGTAGAAGAATCGGGCTTTTGCCTGGAATTTAAAAATGCGTAATGAGTTGTTGGAATTGTTAAATAAATTGTATACTAGCTGAAAGCTGTAATTGCTTTATAATAAATATTAATATATATATTTAGCATTACTATATTATATTTTAAAGGCACGAATAGTTTTATCTTTATTGATCAACTGTTTTTAATGGATTAAGCATATAGTTTTGAAACAAAAGTATTATTTGTAAATAATGTATAATTTATACTTCTATACTATTATAATAAAGCGTAAACACACACTTCTTTGTTGCCTAAGATGTCAGCAATTACAGCATTTTTTTTAATAATCCCTTTTTTAATAAAAAGCCCTACACTTACGTCAGGCTTTAGGCTATATATTTTAACGCCATTAAACTTAGGGGGTAAATATTTTGGATAAAAACTCTAATGTGGGAAAGAGACCATAAGTTGCTGCCAACATCAAGGAAGCAAGGTTGCCACCATGTCATGTTATTTTGACATTTGAAATTGATAATTTGACAATTAAACAATAAAATAAAATTTTCATAATTTCATGCGGATGAAGTCGCACGGGAACAGCTAGTTTAAAAATAAAATCATATTATTGTAACTTCAGTTAAAATAATATGATTCAATATATGATAAAATAATATATCTTCAGATATAAAAAAAAAAGAAATATGTTAATTTAAAGAAAACAGGTAGGATATCTCTTGAATTTAAGAGGAGAGGAAATATAACTACAAATATAATAAACAACTACAAACCAATAAATAAAGTGCACTAAATGCAAAGCAAACTACTCGAATTATAAAATTCCACTGACCTAAGCCCTTTTTACCTGTAGACAATTTCTGTTTCAATTCCGCAGCCAAACTGTCGTACAGATTCGCTACACATCGTTCTTCATTACTTCCGGAATCAGATTCTCTAGAAACTTCGCTTCCCAAAGAAGAATCTGGGGGCTTCTTTGAAGGGAGAGCTCCACGCATTTGCAGCTTTCTTTCTATATCTGCGAACTTCTTCTGATTCTCTGGTCTCTCTATTAATGCTTGCAGATGTGTGTACAGCATCTCAGCGGTGTGATCAGAGTCACATCTGTTGAAACAATAAAAAAAATAATTCGAAGATGTTTTAAAATCAGTGTTGAAAACTAGTTTAAAATGTATTTAAATTGAAAGTCGTTTGTTTGCTTTTAGCATTTTTTTTAATTCTAACGAAGATTCCTTCTCAATTTTATGTTCATTTTTATGTAGACTGGTTTTATTTCTTGTGTCTAAATAACGTTGATTTTATTTTTTTTTGATTATTTTGTCACATTTGATAGAAGAAATTAATTTATACAAATACTATTAGTGGGAAACATAAATCAGCTTGTGTTTTAGCGAGTTTTAAAGTTCAGAAAATTTTTGTGTCAAAATTTACGCTAAAAAGAAAAATTACACTGGTTATATTGGTCTTGAAATATTAAAAATATGTAAAAAAAAGTCTCGTTTTCCCTACAAAAATGTGTTAGATGTCTTGTATAACCTAGTCGTTTTAGTATTAGTTAGTGTTTATTATGAATTATTATCAATTACACGTTGCCAACATTTCAAAAAAATCACTTGCTGTTTATTTCATTTTTAGCTAAACCTAAGCAAAGCGCTCGAGGATCACTACGTTATTTTGAAAATTAATGGCGCCGTAATTACCAAGGCTTCATAAGCATTAACTAAAATGACTAGATTTTACATGACATCTAAAACATTTTTGTAGGGGAAGCGGCAGTATTTTTATGTCTATCAATAAAAGGCGCTTACGTATCGAAGTATTTAAGATTTCAGTATATTGTAACAGAGGTAATGCATGTAACATTTAGTTTACATTGACTGTATAAGTAAGCATATAAATGCGTTGTTTAACTGGTCTTTATTTAGTGGTGTTCGAGACAGGCTCCGCATATCGCGGCATTGTGCTGGTGAATGTCAGAGTTGAGAGATTCACAAGGCCAAATATCTCCGTATTTGCTAACGCCTCGTTAGCTTTGCAGTTAATATCCTCGATAAAAATACAAATTAAATGTTGATAAAATAATACTTTTATGTATAAAATACTACATTTTAAAAGGGTAAGCACACCTCGCTTTCATCATCACCAGCTCACTATACGTCCCCACCGAGGGGCTCGGAGCCTACCCTAATAAGGGGTGACTAGGCCATAGTCAACCACGCTGGCCAAGTGCGGGTTGGTTGACTTGACACATATCTTTGAATTTCTTCGCCGATATGTGCAGGATGCATTACGATGTTTTCCTTCACCGTAAGAACGTCGGGTAAATTATGTACATATGAAAATTGGAAAAATCGAAAATCACATTGGTACATGGCGGGATTCGAACCCGAGACCTATAAAGTCAAGTGCTTAAACTACTGAACCACCGACGCTCTGATTCCTGTTATATGGAGGTTCGCACTACTCGATTTTTAGTTGTAAAACAAACAGTTGAGGCTGCAAAACAATCGACAATCGCACGGTTGTGCGATTGTTTAATCAAAGGAGGGTATCTCTTATAATTTTTCGAATTGAACCAGCCACAACTATCTGTTAATATTTGCAATACAATATATGAGTACATTTGGCAAGCGATTGTAACATTTGGTTGAGAATCGTATTACCGGTATTAGTCAATTTATAACTAGTTTTAACGGATGTGACGTAAGAAAGGGACTTGTATATAGTCGGACAAATTGATTTGCATAATACATTTGCATTTCATTTCGTAATTGATTCTTTATTTTATTTCGTTAGAGCGAATAATAAATACTCTAAATATTAAGAAACGTTACATCTAATAGTTTCGACTGAAGAAACGCATATCATTTTTCAGGGTATGATAATTATGGTAATACTAACTTTTGCTCTTGACTTTGACCATGGTTAATTAGTCCTTACACACCGTTAAACCATTTTGATACATAGTATTAGGACAACTTATTTAATTGATACTGTCGCTTTAAACTCAGAGCAACACTTCTCGTCAAGACTCATGTTTCGCGCCAATCTATTTATACTTCTAGTGACATTTACAGCTGTCAGCTAGGGACGTCACGTTTATGCCGATAATCTAGAGTTGCGCCAACTCTAAAGCACGGTACTAATTTTGTTCCTAATAGTAACAAACCTCCAACTATCTAAAGTACGCATTTATAATATTAATGCGATTGTCGATTGTTTGCAACCTCATCTGTTTAGTTGCACAACTAAAAATCGAGTATTCTGCTCACCGTATAAACTCATATGAATCAAAGCGAGTCTAAACAGTTGTGCGATAGTTTTGCCAAAGGTGTGCGCGCTCTTAATGTGAAGTATTTATGTTCTAGTGTGTTTTGGCAACCGAGAGTTACAATTTAATTTGTTGACATATTCAAATTGACTCTAGCACTATAATACGAGACATAATTTAATATTACGTACAAATGTAATTTAACAAACTAACAGACATTTCTATCTCGTAATAAATTCTATATGTTACACAGTAATTATATGCAATAAATTGAATTGTATGTTATCATGTCACACGCAATGTAACTAAAAAATTGATAATTATTACGTGACGATTACGGAAAATATTATTATCTGATAGTCCGAAAATATTGTAATACATTATGATTTAGTTTTAGCCCGCGATACCGTCTGTGTGGAATGAAAAACAAAAGTAAGTAGCCTATGGGTCCTTCTAAACTATCCTCTACATCTATGCTAAATTTCATCGAGATCCGTTCAGCAATTTAGGCTACAAACACTAACAAACATCCATCCAAACTTTCGCATTTATCGCTTACAAGCTTTCGTTCGCGACTCCGTCTGCGTGGAATTAAAACAAAACAAAAATAAGTAGTCTATGGGTCCTTCTAGACTATGCTCTACATCTATGGCAAATTTCATCGTCATCCGTTTAGCAGTTTAGGCTACAAACTCTAACAACTATTCAAGCTTTCGCATATACTCGTAATGTTAGTAAGAAGTTAGATTATCTATGTACTCTGTGTAAACTTTCTAATAAATCAAGTCTTACAGGAATGTTATTTTAGTATTCTGTTAATATAATTTAAAATTACTATGCGTATAAAAGGCTGGATTCTTATCGTTCCTTTGCATTAAGATTGTGTTTACTTGAAAGCCGGCGAGAAAGCTTCACTTTCTACATGACTAGTGAACTCTAATTTATTACGCTTCTGCTTGTCATTAATTATTTATATTCTGTCCTTCGTTAACTGATTTTGCTTTCTAATAAACGTAGTTATGTGTACCTCAGTGTTAAAATTAATAAATAGTTTTCATTCCGCGCGGAAATAGAAATAGACTACGCGTGCTCCCTACTTTGTTCAGTACTGATTTTTAATCAAGACTCGACTAACCCATGTGGCTTCATCCGCGGGTAATTATAAAAACATTATTGTATCATTTACATTTGTCAATTTATCAATTGCAAATGTCAAAATGACATGACATGATGACAATCCATAGCAATCTTCCTTGATGTTGACAGCAACTTATGGTCTCTTTCCCACATTAGGGTTTTTATCCAAAATATTTACCCACTAAGTTTAATAGACTAAAGCGTGACGTAAGTGTAGGGCTTTTTATTAATACAAGTATTATTCAAAAACATGCTGTAATTGCTGACATCTTAGGCAACAAAGAAGTGTGTGTTTACGCTTTATTATAATAGTATAGATCTGTTAAGCCGTTTTGGAGAAACGTAGTAATAGATATCCATCCAACAATTCTCATTTATATTAATAAGTTAAATAACGATTTATGGGTGAAATTGACATGTTAGTTTAAAATTGTATGGTTAATTAGAAGTCAATATTCGTACTTCGAATGTTTGCAAAAAAACGTGGACATTTGTAAATTAACTAACGTGTTACAAACAGGTAAATAGGAATTATTTTTCAGACACTAAAGATTTTTAATTTTATGTAATTAGGAAGTACCACATATTGTATTTAAATGACAAATATCACCTTTGTATATTATAAAATATTTTAATTCTTATACAAATTATTGATAAAACTATTCAGATACATTTGAACACTTAAATGTGTTTTTATAGTTGTTTAAAATTCGCTACATACTTCGATAAACCTGTCGACATTTCGGTGAAAGTTTTCCGTTTTTCAACTGTCAGTCCGCCATGTTTAAACAACTGTCAAAAACGCAACTTACAGAACCCGAGAAATACTACAGGTGTTAAATACGAGGTGAAAGGCCGGTTGTATTGCGTTGTAAACAGCTGATGTATGCAAGAATATCTCGATAAGAAACCCTTTATGATGTCACTTTAAGTCTGATTTTTATTATTGTTTTAAAATGCTTCATTGACATAGTTAAGTGGAATGTTAAAATACATTTATACATAAAATATTTATTAGTATTGAAATTAAAATTGTGAAATAAATACGTTTTTCTAAATTTAGAATAACGCCATCTAGTTAAAATAAAATACAATAATAACCTTTGAATTACTTTTAATTAATAACACGAAAGTAATGATGAATGTATTGTTGACGAAAATGTTACAAAATTCCAGAACATTGTCTGGAATAGTTAATGTATTTTTTTTTTAATTTAACGCGAATGATTTCGCTGTCAGCCAGTACTTGATATAAAATATTTTATTGTCAAAAACACAAAGTAACATTGATTCTATGTTCGTAAAATAGCTTGCACTTTCACTGTATTGTTACAAACGTAACGTAACAATTTCACTGTCGTTTGCATAGACATTGTCCTTTTGCTGGCAAAAAGCATGACTTTTTTATATTTGTTAATGGAAAGTTTAATAAATCTGACACTTTTTGTTATACCAAATTTTTAAAATTACTTACTACTTTCGCCTGCGAAGGATTAAAAAAAAAGTAAGTCTATGCGTTCTTCCAGACTATTCTTTTCATGCCGAATCATCGAGATCTGTTCAGAAGTTTAGGCTACAAACATCCATACATCTAAACATTCGCATTTATAGTAACACTAGCATTCGCCCGTGACTCTGTCCGCGTGGTATTAGAAAAGTAAGTAGCCTTCTTCCGTAGTAGTATTCTTCCTGACTA